TTCTCAGCTCCTAAAATGTGACTGTGATAGGAAATTATAGCCTTTTCACATTAGCAGGATGTAGTACTTAGATAGTAGTATAGAAACATCTAGTTGAGAAAGTAGTTTTGGAGGGAAATGGGAGGATTTGGAGAGTTAAAATTTTGTTTATTTGAAGTACTCCCAAAGAATTTCATTAGAAAGTGCTACCATGATAGGAATCTTAAAAATTGAAACAAGATACATGTTTACTTAAACATGCATTAGGACTAAGTTGTTTGATATAGTAAGATTGTTTCTATAGTGTGAAACAAAAAAACATTGTCATCACATTTTTAAAGGAAAACCTGTGGCACAGGGAGTTACGAAAGGAGAAATTATAGGGTCTATTACTGTACTGCCCGTTTTATCTATCTTAATCCAGTCTTAATGATTGGAGCTAGGCATGAGGGGATTTTACAAGAGAAATTTAAGAGTAGTTCATCTGAAGAAATAATGTGAACACAATGTTGAAGCAAATAGAGAATTAAATATTTAATTAAGTTGTGTAGTGGAGACTTCAAGAGCTATAGTTATTCAAAGAAGAAAAATTTCTGCAGGGCTGCTATGATCACGGAAAGTTTCTTGAAAGAAGTGGATTTTGAAGATAGGCAGGATTTAGATTAGAAGAGAAGGAAGAATATCAAAGGAAGGAGGGACCTGATTATCAAAATAATAAGCATGACTATTCGGAGGGACAGCTAGGAGACTGACATGGTCAGAGTGGCAAAATCATACAGGGAAGAGTGAAAACTCGAATAGCTCAGGTAGAACCAGGAGAAATGGTAATTTTGATTAGGTTACAGAGAAGGTAAACTTGGAGCTTTGGGGCTTAGGTAGAATAGGAGACTTAGAGTGCCTGAAATTAGAAGCACTTACAATGGGAGAGTGAGATTGCACATACTCATTTAGACAGACCTTGTGTCTCCAACAATAAAAATCACTGCTGGTTTTGGGGGTTTTTTTCTGCCTAGCTTGGGAACACCTTGTTTTCCTACACATAACTGAATCATAGAGGAGTTCCCTTTTTCTAGTTATAGATACATCCTGATAGAACTGTTACCATACATATAAGGTAAAGCCTTCTGAAAATACTAGGATCTTTTACTGAGGAGGCATATTATGCTTGTAGCCAGAATCCTTCTGAATTCTTAGTCACCATTTGGTGATTATTTTACTTGTCACCAATGGCAATTTGTGCCTGTATGATTTCATTTACAAAAGTCACACCATGAGCAACAACATTGTTCCAACATCATCTTCTGTAGTTGTTGATAACTGAGCCTGGAACCTTATAGTGCAATTTAGTGTTTTGTTTTTTAGAAAAGATAAAATTGTTGAAAATGATTTAACCTAATTTGTAGAATAACATTATTTTTTATTAAGCATGTCACATGTCATCTTTCTAACTTTGTCAGAGTTGCTTTTTATTATTGGGATTTTGATACTTGCAAGTAAAAAATACAGAAAATAGCATTGGATGGTATATAACTCATGTAACTATCTCCCAGAATTATGATCTTTTATTGAAATTTTATTTGGGTCTTGCAATTTTGGGTGGAGTATTCAAATAAAGTATCTCAAAAAAAAAAAAGGAGACACTGTAGAAAAAGGAATTCAGAATCCACCAAGACATTTTGCATTTAATCAAAAAGCTTAAAATTTTATATATGCTTTCATCCAGTGTGTCATATTCAGTATAGTCTTAGTTGCTCCTTTTCTACTTGTTCCTTTTTTATCAAAATATTTAAACATGCTCAGGACTGTTCTAACTTGAGAATATAAAACAGAAAAGTCTACCCTTATATCCCTTTCCAGCTGCTTCCAGCTGTCCTGCATTTGAAGCCAGACCTCAGGAATGAGCACTTCACTTTGTACTACTTTAATCCATTGCAGTCTGTGTCACAGATTATGGGTATATTCTAACATTTACCAAAACTTTTTAAAAAGTTATCAACACAACCTCCTGTTTCCTAAATTCAGTGGACAATTATGTTCTGAACCACTTTAATCAGTGCTTCTTGAAACATTCTCTGCCTTGACAGTAAATACTTCTAATTTTTCTCCTACCTCAAGCAACTGCTCCCCCCTTTATTCATATTTTTTGAGTATCTGATATATACTATACAGGTTTTGGAAATAGCATTAAAAGAAGGAAATAGCATTATAAGTTCATGACATCTTGGTGCTTACATTCTAGTGTGGGTTTTCTTTTTCGACTTGTGTTTTTCTTCAGAGTTCTGCTTTGACTTTTAGTTTTCAATCTATATACCGGTACCCAGCAATAATGTGGGCTCATTTGTTGCTCTAAATTCCCAGGATTATCTCTAGTTTAGATACCTGCTTCAGAACCATATTTTGTACACCTCCATGTGGGTCGCCCTCCTACAGGCTCCTCAGACTGAACTCATTTCATCCCATACTGAATTCATTTCCCCCGAAACCAGTTTCTCTTGTTTTCCGCATATCTGAATGACATCACTGTCCATCCATGAAACTGAAGTGTCATCCTTCACTTCTGTCCCTTACCTGCCTGTCCAATAAATGCCTGTTCTAGTGAAGCTCCTAAATACTCTGTGTACTGTACCTTTTTCTGCCTGGCCACTATAGTGCAACCATCTGTTGTCAGTAGGATTGCCTTAACCTTCAACAAGTCTGTTTGCCTCCATCCTTGCTACTTACCCTTAAAAATGGGCTATCTCTGTCTCTGTCAGGGCATAGTGCACATACTAGATATTTAAATGTTAGAGTGAATGGATAGCAACCATCACACTGTATTCTTTTTGTCCTCATCACCTTTCTAGATTGGAAACTATAAGGGTAAAGAGAGTATCTTATTTACTCTTATATCCCTACTTCTAGTATGCAGTGCCTGTATGTTGTAAGTGGTCCGTAACTGGTGACAGAATGAAGGAAAAACTTTTTTGTATAAATGTAGATACTACCACCCTCCATTTCTCATCTTGTTTGTATAAATGAAGGAACTGAGGCTAACAGGATTAAAGGATTCTATTTTTATACTTTATATACATGAAATCAGGCAGCTATTCTTTCATATACATTCTTTCAACATTGTTTGTGAGATGCGCCCAGTGGTATGCTGGAACTGGCTTGTACCAGCTTCAGAGAGCTGATTTTTAAATTTTCAAGAACTTGGCAAGCTGGTTTTCAAACCATTTAGTAGCTTGAAATTGGTGATGGTCCAATTATTTGCTCCACAGAAATCAACCAACATTACAAATCAGGGCTTTTTATTTGGGGAGCTGGTTTACCAACACATCACTAGATTCATCCATGTTGTTGCATGTAGTTGCAGATTACATGTTCTTGTTGCCATGTAGTTTTCTGCTGTGTGACTGTACCACTGCAGTGTTTATCCATCCTCTTGTACATAGGCAGTTGAGTGGTTTCCAGTTTTGACTATTAACAAATAGTTCTGCCGTGAAATAGTGTTTCTTAGTAGACATTTTGCTGGGTCATAGATTATGTATATGTTCAGCTTTTATAGATACTGCCAAACAGGACCAATTTACCCTCCCTCTGCCAATTTATTAATAGAATTCTATTTGTGTCACATCACCAACACTTGGTGTTTTCGTTGTCTTCGTACTTTACCCATTATGGTGAGTGAACAGTGATACTGATTGCGTTGTGGTTTTAATTTGCATCTGATGATGAATGAAGTTGAGGGCCTTTTCTTTGTCTATAACTCTTTTGGACATATCCTGTTTTGTGAAGTATCTATTTAAGTCTGTTGTCCATTTTTCCCCTGGATTGTCTTTTTTTTTCCTATTGGTTTTGTGAGCGTTCTCTATGTATTCTGGAAATGAGACAGATAGATAGATAGATAGATAGATAGATAGATAGATAGATAGATAGATATGTATCTCCCTTCTTTGATTAACTGTAGTTCTTAATATAATAGATAATGGAGTCCAAAGTATCAGATCTCTCAAGATGAGTGCTTTTTGTGGTTTGTTTAAGGTCTTTGTCTATTGCAAGAACATGAAGAATCTCTTATGCTTTCTTCTATAAGCTTTATTTTATCTTTCACACTTAAATTTTCCAGTCATCTGGAATTGTTTTTGAATATTGTATGAGGTAGGTTCAAGATACATCTTTCCCATTTATGGGTATGTGGTTGACCCAGAACTATATTTTGAAAGGACTCTTTGTTCACTGAAGTGCAGTGTTGCTTTTGTCATACATCAAGTGACTGTATATATAGGTCTGTTTCTGGACTCTCGTTTGGTTTGGTCAGTTTATCCTTGTACTTAAAACACTGTCTTAATTACTACAGTCATAGATCTTGATATCTGTTGGTAGTTCTCCAATTTTGTTGTTCTTCAATATTGCCTTGCTTGTTCTTGGCCCTTTGCGTTTCCACATGATTTTTAGAAAAAACTTTTCAATTTTGGCAAAAACTTTCTTTGATTTTAATTAGGATTGCATTAAATTTATAGATGAATTTATGGAGAATTGCTGTCTTTACAATATTTAGCCTTTCGGTTCATGAACGTGGTGTATTTCTCCATTTATTTAGCTTTTATTTCTCTCAGTAAGTTTTGCAGTTTTTAATATAGAGATCTTTTATATTTTTCTTTAGATTATTCCTGAGTCTTTGATGTTTTTTTTGGTGCTGTAATTGTGTCTTTTCAAAAATATTTTATTTGTTTCTGGTGTAAAGAAATAATTTTGTTTGGTATATTGGCTTTGTATGTATCAAATGATCTTGCTAAATTCACTTATTCTAATAAATTGTGGAGTCTTTTTGATTTCTTGTTTCTGTTAATATTGAATTTATTTGGTTCTCTCTTTAAATAGCTTAGACCTCTCTAGGGTTATGGAAAGAGCAATGTTGTTAGGTAGTATTTAAAGATAGCCTATAGTGGTTTTTCCTTATTTCTTGTGGGTTGCATAAAGCTGCTGAGAAATAGATATGTCTTACTTTATATTGCATTGCTAAACTTACTACTTTTGTCTCACATGAAGAGACCATGTAGTAACTAGCAGAAATAGTTCCTTTGCATTTTTTAGCATAATTTCTGTGTCATTTTCTTACATACTTTTAGCATAAACTTGGCATAGGCCTATTTTATCTTAATAAAAGATATAATATCTTAATTATGTGAATGTGTCTTCCTCTAACAGTGTTACTCACAAATATTTACTCTTATCCTTAGGAATCCTTTCAAGTCATCCCAAATATGGTTCCATTCCTAAACTTATATGTAAGTATGAATACTAGTCTTCTTAGCTTTTTTACTAAGTAAAATAATGTTTTCATCAAATATTTTGTCTTATTCAGAACAGTTACTTGGTTATTTGCTTTAATAAATCTGTTTAAGCTTTTCATTAAATGGACTAGTAGAGCTTTTTATTGTTTGCATTAAAAATCATGAGTTACTTCAGAGGCATTTTTTTTCTTTTTATAATGTAATAGAGTATTAATTTTAAATTTTTGTAAAGATAAGAGTATTTGAAAATAAATCCTCAGAGTCTGTCTGAGGAAAGAATTCAGAGTCTGATTAATCAAAGCAGTGTATTTTAAAATTAAGCCTAATTTTAAAAAGAAATCTTCAAAATTTACATTAAAAGTGTAAATAAGCATAACTTACATTTATATACATAACTTATTTACATTTTATAATATGGTAATAGAAAAGAAGCTAAATTGCTCTAAAAAAAATATCTGAGGCTTTTCAAGAATCTTTCCAGGTTAGCCTCTCTTTTGTATTGGAAACACACTCCATGCAACAATAGCCAGATTTAGGTACCATTTCATGATTCATTATTTTAAGAGATTTGTTGCACCCGATTTTAAAAATAGTCTTAACTTATCTAGGCAAATGGTATGATCCCCGTTTTACAGGAAAAGAAATGGCCTAAATTCCTGTGACTAGGCCTGAGCTCTGATGTTTTGATTCCTTATTCCACTATACCTTTACCACATCTTTCCTATCTATATTCATAAAGTAATTAGTAAAATAGAGTTTATCTTATAGCAACTTTATTTTGGGTTATTTTATTCTGTGAAAGTGAATTATATCCACAGAATCTTTCTGTGAACTCTGAATCTGATTTAATGTGACACTTTTACTTTATTTCAGGAAATCTTAGTCTTTCCACACCAAAGACATACCTAGAATCACGTGGTTTTTTTTTAAATGTTCTTTTTGAAAAGATTCTTGTCTAAAAAGACACACACATTGAGTCACACTCTCTGTTTGTTTTCACAAATAAGTTGCCTGTATCATGGGATACTTTGCTGGAAAGCTTTCTTATGTGAAAACTTGCCAAGAGAAATTCAAGAATCTTGAAAATTCCCCTCTTGGAGAAGCTTTACGGTCAGGACAGGCACGGCGATCTTCACCACCTGGGTATGCCAGATTCTGATTTTTGTTAAAAGTTTTTTATTTTAGCTAAAAAACTGTAACTGGATATTGCCATAATTCAGGGCATGAAACATTGCCTAACTGAAGGACCATTGGAAACTTGCCACTTTTTTGCAAGCAAAAGTTAATTTTGTTTTAAAAAGTAGAGTGAGGTTTGGCTACCTTTGTTTTAAATACAGAGTTGCATCCCATTGGGAGTGCATATCCCAGAATAAAGGATTTTAATTTGGCAAACACCTTTGGTTACCTATATTTTGGGCTTTTCTTTTGAATTCCCAAATATTTATCCAAGCTCAACAAATTTCAACTTTTTGAATCTGTCTTTTGTTTAAAATAGTAGAGAAATTGTATAAGTATAGATAAATGAGTCTGGATAGGTAGAGAGATAAATAATAAGGTAATTAAGTAGATTTGACAGGTAAATTGTCTTATTATAAATGGCAAGCAGTGTAAATCCCAGAAGGGCTAGACTTACATCTGCTTTAGCACAATAGTTTATATCAACTAATTTTTTTGTGGCAGAAAGAAACAGCCTTCTTTTTCTATTTTAAATAAGTGTGTTAAAATTATGTGATTTCTTTAGAAAGAAAGATAACTGGTTTTCATACCTTTTTTAAATAAGGTATAGGCAATAACTCCTGTTGCTTATACAATATGATTTTCTTTTATAGGCACTATTCTCAGAAGTCAAAATATGACTCAAATGTGAGTGATCGTTCATCTTTTGTGACATCTCCAGCTGCAGACAACATGGAAAAAGAGATGTTGCCTCGTTATGAGCCAATTCCATTCAGTGCTTCTATGAATGAATCTACTCCTACTGGTATTACTGATCATATTGCCCAAGGTAGAAACTTCTCTTGAAATGAATGTCAGCATTTTATGGTCCAACGTATGTATAAACTTTATTTAATGACCTTTTCTGATGGATATCACCTCTATGTTCCACCATCAGCCTAAACTCAGCATGTCTGTTCATTTCTTTCTTCATTCATTCAACGTTTTTTGAGGTCCTGTAGGTATCAGGCATTCTGCTAGGTGTGGAAGAAGTAAAGGTGAATAAGAGCTGGTTCTTGTCTCTGAGAAACTCAGTCTGTAAGAAGATATAGAAATATAAGGATAAATTACTAGTATGTCCCATTAGTTGAAAATACTAACCAAGTTTAGTGGAATAGTAAAGAAGCGCTAAGTTGTGCCTCACGGAGGCTTTAATAAGGTTTTATTTGTTAGACTGGTCTTAAAGGCTTTCAGCGTCTTTGTAATGTGAGAAAAATAATAATTACCTGCCTTACAGAACTTGTCAAGTGAGAAATCCATGTGAAAATGCTTTGTGAAGTTTGTAAATACTAGCTTTGAAGATCACATAATGTAAGTGAACAACTTCAACTTTGGATTAAGACCAGATTTGAATCATCATTGATATTAACTAGCTATGTGACCTTTGGCAAGTAATTAATTTGTGATCCCTTTAGTTTCTTGATCTCTGGAATGGAGATGAAAATACTTCTTTTAAAGAACTTTTGGAATGAGATGAAATAACCATAGATAACACCTGGCAAATAATAGGCTCTCAACAAATGTTAGTTTCCTTCCTTTCTTCTGTAGTCTAATTCGCAGTGAAAAGTGAGGAATTAGAAATAGAAAGTACAGGTCTACAATTCCTTATCTAAAATCCAAAAAACTGCAAAAACCAAAGTTTTTTTAAACAATTGAACAAGTGATAAAGTCTGACCTGAACTTTCTTTAAACCCTGTCCTAAACTGAATGTGTTTATTTATAATCTTTATCTGAATATGATTTTTCCTAACTTTTGTTGTAGAAATATTAATGCGTTTGCTTACTGAAATTGCTGCTTTGAGCACCTTCTGAATGGCTGAATAATGTAAGGGCTGTACGCTGTAATATTTTTCTCAACTCTGAGAAAGTCTGAATTTTGAAACATTTCTGATTCCAAGGGTTTGGATAAGGGATTGTGGACCTCTACAAGTATTCTTTGAAAATGCTTTCTTTAAACCAATTATAATAAGCCAGAAACTATGGGGAACAAACAAGGTTAAAGGAACATTTGAATTTTTCTTTTAAGATGGGAGAGATTTGAATCTGTATATATGTACGTTAAAGGGAGGGAAGGCATACAGTGGAAAGGGCGAAGTTGATTATAGATGAGGTAAGGTTCCAGACGATGCAGAGGGGGTTCTAGGTAGGTTGGGATATAAAATAGTCACTGACTATACATGGCTGTTTAAAATAATATTAAATCAAATTGAAAATTCAATTCCTTAGTTGCTTTGACAGCATTTCAATTGCTCAGTAGCCACATGTGCTAGTGGATACTCTGTAGGACTTCAGATATAAAACATTCTCAACATTACAGAAAATTATAATGGACAGCACTGCTTTAGAGCAAAAGTGAGGGGGGTGAGTGTTAACTAGAAAAAAAGACAGGAGAGAATGGAAGTTAAAGATAATTTAGATTTTTAAGTGGTTGAAAGTTGATCAGTCTGTTAATCCTCAAAAATGCTATTTTTTTCTGGATGATCTAAAGACATCCAATTACAATTGACCCTTGAACAAGGCAGGTTTGAATTGTGCAGGTCCACTTACAAATTTCCCCTTACAAGTGGACCGGCATGGTTCAAACCCGTGTTGTTCAAGGGTCAACTGTAGTCAGAAAGGGAAGAAGGTGGGCAGATTAGAGAGAGTGGTTAAACTTATTTTATCTCCCAAGGCAGCTATACTTGCCCCTCACTGCATCTCTCCATTTTTCCCATGTCTCAAGTTGAAATCCATTATACTTGTATCCTAGCCACGCACCAACTCTTCCCTTGTAATGACTTTCATCCTTCCATACATTTTGCATTAGTAGATTCCATTTCATGTTATATAATTTATTTTCCAAATAAAAGCAAACAAAAGGGCCTTTGGTATCTGCCCAGACTACAGCAAAGCCCTTTAGTATATCTTATATCCTCCACGGCAGTCATCCATCTGTCCATCCATCCACCCATCCATCAATCCATCTGCTGCTCTGCTTCCTCACCCCCTTCTCTAAGTCAAGATTTTGGCTCTTTGACTGCTCTCTACATGGGCCAGCAGTGGCCCTCTTTGCTTTGCCCCCTTCCCTTTTGTTTAAGCAGAACTACTGCTTTCTCTTACCAAGAATTCAAAGTAGAAAGTGCATAGTTGTTATGAGACTTATTGTAGTTTATTACAGTTAGATTTAAATCAGTGCTATTTTACATTGTCTCATTCCTTCCAGCTCTGTATAACCTTCCCAAAGGAGTAAATTATGCTCCCTATACAACGCAGGATATTTTCATTTGGCTTTTGTAAATGTAAAAACTTCTCCCTGATCTTCTGCCTGATTTATGTTTTCATTATTTGTTGCAGAATTTCAGAACAATGAAAAAATATTAGACCTGGAAGGAACTTTAGAGATAGATTATTTAGTTAAACTTCCTTGTTTCACAATTGACAAAACCAAGATTTCAAAGAAGCTTAGTAATTTGCCCAAGGACATCCATTAATTGTCAGCAGAGTAGGAATGAGAACCTAGGGTTTCTAACTACTAATCTAGTACACAGCATCTCCTTCAGAATTTTAAAATTGTCATTTATGGTGAAAGCAAATGAGTCCAATAATTACTCATTACTAGTGAAATACAAAGTGCTTTTTAAACCCAATATAAGGTTATAATATTTTTCTTTGTATTTTTTTATTTTAGCAAGAAAAACTCACTTTTCAACCATGGTATAGTACTAGAACTAATAAGGAGAAATTTAAATGTTCTTTGTGTCAGAGCAGTATACTTTGTATGAAAATAAAAGACAAAAGTTGAAAGCATTTGCTGTACAGTTATATTGTTTTAAAAATTCTAATTATTCACTGGGACCTTCCCATTGAGCTTAATAGTAAATTTAACAAAAAAAATTGTTTTTAATTATTTTAATTAATATAACTATGTTATATTAATTAAAATAATGTGCCCAATTTATATGTCTTACTATAAAGCTCTTTGAAAAATATTTCTTTTGGAGTGGTGTATAAGATTGTAAGATGCGTAGTTGTTTATTGAATGCTATGGTAACATTAGTTAATTTCTTTAAAAATGTTTATATGGCTTTTTTTGCTGGTTATACATTTTATAAAGTATGTTCAATATTTGGCCCTGTCAGCCAATATTAAGAGTAATCACTTATGTTTATGTGAGTATTTGACTCTTCGATAATATGTATTCATACCTTGATTCTCTTTGGGACAGATAAAGAATAAATGCTGGTTCCCCAGGTGAAATTATAGTTGCCACTTTCTTCTGCCTCAGTATTGTGTTCATTAGACCTGAGTGTAGATGCTATGATTAAAGGCTATATTTTGTCCTTTTCAATAGCTATTTTCAAGTACTTTTTTTAGATCTAAAGATGATAAAAAAAAATTTTTTTTTTAATAGCTGGAGTTGTTTGCATATAGACTCTGGTTATGGGAACATTTAGCCATGGAAATATAACTAAATAAAATCTGTACTATATCAAGTTTGTTTGTTTTTTCAGTTATCACTAGCACATTTTTCTTCGTATAAACACGGGATAACTTAAAAGAATAAAACTTCAACTTTAAAAGAAGTCTAATTTGGCCGGGTTTCATTTATGTTATTTGTTTGTTCTTTGTTAAGTTGGAATTTTTTTAAGGTTATTTTAAATTTTAGAAATAAAAGCTTAAAATGTAAGAGGAAGTTGATTTTAGTTTTTAATTACATTGGGGAAAAGATAGTACTTTCGGAATGGTGGTGGTAATTTGATTCTTTATTTTACTCTATTTTTTATTGTAGGTAAGGAGCATTTATAAAATTTAGTTGCTTTGGATTTATTAAAATCCTTTTATCATCATTTATTAACTGTTTGTTGTTTTAGGACCTGATCCCAACCTTGAAGAAAGTCCTAAAAGAAAAAATATTACATATGAGGAATTAAGGAATAAGAACAGAGAGTCATATGAAGTAACTTTAGCACATAAGACTGACCCCTCAGTCAGGCCTATGCAGGAAAGAGTGCCCAAAAAAGAAGGTATGATAGTTTAGTCTAACCACTTTACTCTTTAGGAATGGAAAATGCAGCATTAGTTAAAAACATTAATTATATTAACATGTGATTGAATTCCACAAGCAATTAACCAAAATAACATTTTTTAAAAAGAATAGCTATTTCACTTATCAGTTCTTCCTTTTTAAAGTGTTCCAAAGGCCATGTTGTGTTAGGAAATAATGAAGTCTAAATAGTAGTATGACTGAAGATAGTAAGACTAGTTTTGTAATAGGTGTAAAAAGTATACTTCCAATTTGACTGTTTTCCCTTATAAAAAGTCACCTTGGAAACAGATACTATTTTTTAAATAACACATTTATTGCATAAAACCAGATCTGGTGACTTAAGGTTGATAATTGGGCTATAGTGCCACTTTTGGCAGAACCACAGAATCATGCTTGAGTAAAGAAACGGATTTCATTATGTGTTTGTGAAATTGAAATAAGAGTTATATACTTTACAAACCAGCTTGTAGGACACTTCCAAAAGAGGAGTTTGACTTTTTTAAAATAGTACTTTTGCTCTATAATTAATTATAAATTTTAAAATTGCAATTTCTTTTAAGTCATTTTGGAACAGTTATACATTACCTTAAGTAAATTTTGTGACACAAAAGTTTACCTCTAATGGAAGAGGGCATTTTGAATAGGGGTTTGTAGCTATTTTAATACAGAATTTTAGGGGATGTGACATTGTTTAAGGTTTTTCTATTTACTACTTTAAAAATTGAAGAAATAGGTTCTCGGTGCCTCCTTGAGCATCATATCCCACAAGAATGTAAAAATGCATAAAAATTCTTAGTATTTCTTATGATCATTCTTTTAGAGCCAATTTTATTTCTAATTGTTAGTGCTTGTTTCATTTAGAATTTTATTTTCATAATAATGATAATATGATTGATGTAAAAAAACTAGCTTTAAAATGGATTTGTAATCAATATTACTTGTTAATGTTTGTCATTAAAAAATTAGTGTAAACCGTATGCATTCAGTAACCATTACACTGTAATATGTAAAGACTTACTGGTACTTTGTTCTGCTAATTAATTGGAGATTTAGGCTGTAAGCTCCATGAGGGCAGGCAGTAGTATTTTTCTTATTTTTGTAATCTTTTATATTTCTGCACAGCATAGTAACCATACACTGATAAATCAGAAATGGAGTGTTGTGTTTGGGCCTTCTATAGTAGTAAATGTTAAGAAAAGAAAATGTAGACCTTTGGCGTTTGCTAGATTTTGACAATTGTGATTTTTTTTTTTTTACTGTAAGCATTCTTGAAGTTGTGTTATATGACACATTAATATCAAATAATTTTTCTTTGTAAAAAGAAAGTTGGTTTTTTTGTGCTTTTTTATATAAAGAAAAAAAAGTTATAAATTAGTTTCAATGATTTTCTAGAATATTTCAGTCTAGAATCCAGACAGAAAACTTGACATTACTACAGTGTAGATTCATTGGGTCAAGAAGTATTACCTAAAGTTTTCAGCTTTAGTTTGTGTGAGTGACATTTAATTAAAAATCAGACTGAGAAAATTTTTAAATGTAAGCACTTTTTTTTGAGGGGGGGGGCTTTCTCTAGATTTATTAGGAGTTTGTTACAAATGTAAGCACATTTTTAATTGGCTGTCAGGGCAGTGATGTGACCACACATCATGTAGCCTCTAGAAAACTATCTTGTACTAATGAGGGACTGAAAGCAAGGAGAAAAGACAAAAAATGAAGGAAAAGGTATATAATGTCTTAGTATAATAATGAAATCATTTTGACTTCACCGACTCCTTGAAAGAGTCTTGGGGAAAGGCTTGTAGTCCATACTCTGATAACTGCTTCTTTACATTGTTATGAGTACGTGGGTCTTCTGAAGGGCTGTAAGTCACAGGTGAAGGGTATGTAAAAGAGAGGGTAGAAGGTGAAAGAGTAGTCAGAGGAGCATGTTTCAAATTATAATTTTACATAAAGTGCAAGAATATTGGAAACTATTTTCTCTTTCCACTAGTATTACGGCTCATGAGAGAGAAGCTTGAATTAACCATAACCTAAAGACCTGACCATTTCTATTACTGTATTTTTTGTGAAAAACAAAATGTTTTTTATCATTGTGTTGATAATTTCCCAGTAATTTTTTTGTATGTGCTGTAATTCATACCACACTTAGGTAGTATGGTAAAAGTTGTAAAGACACCCAGGCTTTGAACCTAACCAGATCTGTGTTCAAATTTTCGTTTTACTTGTCTTATTAGGCGTGTACCTTGGGCAAGTTACTAATCTGTTTTCTCACCCTTAAAAAGTGTGTTTACTTTATAAGGTTGTTAAGAGAATCAACTATGTAAATTTCTTGCTATATATAGTGTGTTAGTATTTGTGTCTAACCTCTAGTTCACTAGTCTAGCTAGCCCCTTTTTAAATTGGCTCTCATGTGCATTCAAATGAGAGAGAAACAACTTTTCATCATCATAATAGCAAACTTAAAATAGTGCCTTTTACTTGTTACTATTTGGAATCATCAATTATTTGTGCTTTTTTCCTAGTCAAAGTAAACAAATATGGAGATATTTGGGATGAGTGAAAAATTGCATCATTGGACCTACGGAAGGCGTTTCAATATCCATCTTCATCTAGGTGGTCATGAATATCTGCATGCTTTGATCTCAGCAGCAGTCTTCATAAACACATTTCAAACTAGAACCTGGATTTTTGTGGTTTGGCTTATTAAAATGATGTTTAAAAACAAATTTTAATGTTAATATTGTATGAATGTATTCACCTTGGGGAACTATATGAATGATGGTATTATACCATGATTGTGTACAGTTTGAAATTTAAGTTTCAGGNAAAAAAAAAAAAAAGAAAGAAAGGATTTTCTAACACTTGGCACTATCCAGTTTTCTAAATTTTGACAGTCTAATAGGTATAAAGTAATAATTTATTTGCATTTCCCTGGTAACTAATGTATTTGGGCCAGACTGCCCTTGGCCTCTAGTGTTGAGGTAACGAATCTCAGCAACTGGCCCTGGGTTGTCACTGTTCATTATATATTGGCTCATTAATTTTTTTATGATGGTAAAATACACATAATATTTACCTTTTAGCCATTTTAAAGTGTACAGTTCAACAGCATTAAGTACATCCACAATGCTGTGCATCCATCACTACTGTCTAGTTCCAGAATGTTTTCATCACGCCAAAAGGTAACTCCATACACATGAAGGAGTCTGTCCTCATTTTCTCCTTCTAGAACCCTGGCAACCGCTAATTTGCTTTTCGTCTCTATGGACTTGCCTATTCTGGATATTTTATGTAAATGGTATGATACAATATATGACCTTTTGCAGCTGGCTTCTCTTCCTTTGCATAATATTTGCAAGGTTCATCCCTGTTGTAGCATGTGTCAGTATTTTTCATTTCTTCTTATGGCTCAATAATATTCCATTGTTGGATAGACCACATTTTGTCCATTCATCCACTGATGGATATGTGGGTTGTTTCTACCTTTGGAATATTGTGAATAGAGCTGCTATGAGTATTCCTGATTTTTGTTTGAACATCTAGTTTCAATTCCGCTGGGAAACCTGGTAGTTCTGTTTGTCTAATTGAGGAACTGCCAAACTGTTTTCTATAGGAGCTGCACCATTTTACAACAAAGTATGAAGGTTCCAATTTCTCCACATTTTTGTCAACTCTTTTTTTTGTTTTGTTTTGGTTTTTTTCATTATGGCCATGCTAGTGGGAGTAAAATGGTATCTCACTGGGGTGTTGATTTGCATTTCTCTAATGACGAATGACACTGAGTATCTTTTCAATTGCTTGTTGAGCATTTATGTATCTTCTTTGGAGAAATACCTATTCAACTCCTTTGCCCTTTTTTTTTTTTTTTTAAGTGTTTTAATTAGGCAAGAGAAGCATCAGGACAAACCAACCATTTTTTTTTTTGGAGGGCAGTGTCACTGGGCCTCATATGTGGGATCCGAACCGGGGCCCTCTGGCATCCCAAGCCAGCCCCCAACCATCGCGCCACTCGGNAGGTCAGGTGATTAACAACAGCCTTTCCATCTGCAACTTCAATTTCCCTTTGCCATGTAACCTAATATCGGAGGTGCCAAAAAAAAAAATGTATGCACATAACTTGTAGTCATCTTTTGTTATTGGTATATATTGAGTATTACAATTTTAATGCAGTTTTTTTCTTTCTTAAAATGTGTACACGTTTTTTTTTGCCACCCTCTGTATATTCATTCACTCATTCCAGGGATTAGAATATCTTTTGGAGTGATGGGGGTAGGGACTTATGCTAAAAATAGGCAAAAGCCTGCATAAATAAACCCTTCACCAAAAAAATAAATAAATGCAAAGCACCAAAAAGCTGCCAGGACAGTCCCAGAAAACGGGGCTCCCTTAAATGATTGAACAAATATTGAATCTTACCTTGGTGGACTAGTCCTTGGGTAACAAGCATGCTTATAAGAGAAAAAGGCAGAGCTGTAAAACAAAAATGACCTTCATTACTGGCATCTTAGAACTTGGCACCTCACCCAGAAGTCAGGGAGAATTATCTGAGTTTTTATCTCTTACCTATCTTGGCAATTAATTGTTAGTCATTTATTTGTTTACTTATTCAACAAATATTTGTTAAGTACTGCCTGGAGAATTTTCTTGGCGTCTGCCCCAGGCACTGAACCTGATGTACAGCTTCAATCTGACAAAACTTAAACCCCAAGGTACTCCACCTCTGACATCCACTTTTNGGAGAAGGAAGGACCATTTGAGGAGTTGTGTTTAGTCTTTTAGACCATGAGTGGTATATAAAAGAACCTGGTCCTTTAGTGCTCATCACAAGCACTTACCCATTAGCTAAGCAAGTAACCTAAATATGAGTTTGGCTGAAACTCCACCTTACCGATGAGATATAAAGTCATCAAGATCACTGAAAGGACAGTTGATTCATATTGTGATTCTTTTAAGTGAAATATTTTTCATTAAATTAAAAGTCTTGGTCCCCACATTTTAGAAAGCACTTCACATACCTATAAGATGCAGTCTTTCTTGCCCTGTGTGTCTATCCATACACAGTGGTTTTCTCTGGGGGATGATTTCTCAAGTTCCTCAACATTCATTCCTGTCCTTTATCAGAGATCTTAAAACCCAGAGCTAAAGCAGAGTGAAAGAATGGGTGGGGAGACTCAGAGAAGATTCAATTCTTTTACTTAACTATGAGCAAGTTAGAACATAACATAATTTCTTTTTGGTGTGTGAATGCTCCCAACATGTTCTTAAATATTAGAAAAACACAATATTAAATTCAATTAAGAACCTTCCACAAAAAGTATTTCAATAGAATAAGCGAATCACAATGTTTCTGTTTCACTATATTATTTTAAAATACACTTGAAATTTTAAATGTGTATAAATTCAGAGATTTAAGAAATTTCAAAAACCATAGATACAGAGTTTAGGAAGCTGACGGCTGGGAACTTCCTTTCTCACTTAATCCATGCTTAATTTTGCACTCCTCACAGGTAAGCAGGCAGTGCCTAGAATAGAGGCAAAAATAGAGGTTTGTACTTTGACACTAGAAGCGCTAGTCTTAACACAATATTATTGAGAAACATTTCCTATACTAAAGTTCACAAGCCCAATTTTTAAATTTTTTTTTTTAGGAATAATAGGGGCTATTTCTTGGTTTGGGACCCTAGAATTTCATTAAAAAAATGAATAAATAAAAAAAGGCCATTAATGATCTTCATGTCCCATGTTGTTTTCACAGTATCATGCTGCCTTTCAAATAGAATCCACCGTGACAAGTGAGAGTCTTTAGGGAAATGTGTCCCCAATGCTAGTCCTGTAATACTGTAGCAGAAATAGCTATTATTTACTGAGGACTTACTGAGTGTCATAAATAGCCATTTCTATTCCTTATAACATCCANAAACAACAATAGCATTGTACCCATAAAATAGGTGACAATTTAATTTTTTTATTTTTTAAAGATTTTTATTAAAAAATATAGCTAACATACACCATTATATCAGTTTCAGGTGTACACCATAGTTGTTCAACATTTACTTGTATATACTTAAGAACTGATCACCATGGTAAGTCCAGCAACCATCTGACAGCATACCACGCTATCACAACATTTTTTACTATATTCTCTATGCTGTACATTACATCACCATGACTTGTTTTATACCTGGAAATTTGGACCTCATTCCCCTTTTCCCCCTTAAAAAGGTTTTCAATTACAATTGAAATTCAGTATATTAATTTCAGGTGTACAGCATAGTGGTTAGACATTTATATAATTTAAGAAGTGATCCCCTGACTAGTACCCACCTGGCACTATACATAGCTATTACCATATTATTGACTATCCTCTGTGCTTTACATCCCCATGACTATTTTGTAACTACTAATTTGTACATCTTAACCCTTTAGCCTTTTTCACCTACTCCCTCAAACCCCCTCCCATCTATCAACCCAATAGATCTAGTACCCATCAGACACCATACATAGTTATTACAATATTGACTGTATTCCTTATGCTATGCCCTACATCCCCATGACTACTGTGTAACAACCAATTTATACTACTTAATCCCTTCCCCTTTTTTCACCCACTTCCAAACCCTCTCTCACCTGGCAACCATTAAAATGGTTTCTATATGAGTTTGTTTCTGTATGAGTTTTGTTCATTTTGTTCTTTAAGTTCAACATCTAAGTGAAATCACATTGCATCTGTCTTTTCTCTGTCTGACATGTTCCACTCAGTACAATACCTTCCAGATCCATCCATGCTGCCTCAGATCGAAAGATCCCATTCCCATCCATGGCCGGGCAATATTCCATTGTATATGTGTACCGTCTCCTCTTTATCCAATCATCCATTGATGGACACCCAGGCTGCCTCCACATTTTAGCCATTGTAAATAATGCTGCAATGAACATATAGATGCATTCGTGCCCTTGAAATAGCGTTTTGGGTTTCTTCAGATAAATAACCAGAGGGATTACTGGGTCTTTCTTTGTCTGTTGTTATAACCTTTGTTTTAAAGTCTATTTTGTCTGGTTACTGGTATAAGTATTGCTTCCCCAGCTTTTTTTGTTTCCATTTTCATGAAATATTTTTTTCTATCCCTTTCTGTCTGTGTGTGTCTTTCAATCTTAAGTGAATCTCTTGTAGACAGCGTATGTAAGGGTTTTGTTTTCTTATCCATTCAGCCCCCATATGTTTGTTTTGTTTTAGAAATTTTATTGGGGAACAGTGTGTTTTTCCAACCCATTAGCTCCAAGTCAAGTAGTTGTCTTCAATCTAGTTGTGGAGGGCGCAGCTCCTTGTCCCATGTGGGAATCGAACCGGCAACTTTAGTGTTATGAGCCTGCGCTCTAACCACCTAGCTAACCAGCTGCCCCCCCCCACCCCGTATGTCTTTTTATTGGAGCATTTAATCCATTTACATTGAAAGTAATTGTTGATAGATATGTAGTTATTGCCTTTTTATTATAATTTTGTTTTTTTCCATTTTAAAGAAGTCCCTCTAACATTCCTTGTAATACTGATTTGGTGGTGATAAACTCCTTTAGATTTTTCTTGTCTGGGCAGTTCTCTATCTGTCCTTTTATTTTAAATGATAGTCTTGCTGGGTAGAGTGATCTTGGTTGTAGGTTCTTGCTTTTCATCACTTTGAATATTTTGTGCCAATCCCTTCTGGCCTGCAAAGTTTCTGTTGAGAAATCAGCTAAAAAGCTTATGGGGGCTCCCTTGTAAGTTACTAGTTGCCTTTCTCTTGCTGCTTTTAAGATTCTTTGTCTTTAACATTTGCCATTTTAATTATAATATGTCTTGGTGTGGGCCTGTTTGAGTTCATCTTGTTTGGGACTCTGCACTTCTTGGGCTTGTATGTCTCATTTCCTTCACCAGGTTAGGAAAATTTTCCCTCATTATGTCTTCAAATAGGTTCACAATCCCTAGCTTTCTCTCTTCTCCTGGTACCCCTATGATGCAAGTGTTGTTAGGCTTGTTGTTGTCCCAGAGTTCTCTTAAACTATCCTCATTTATTTTTTATTCTTTCCTTTTGCTGTTCTGATTGGGTGTTTTCTGCTATGTTGTCTTCCAAATTGTTTCCATCCTCCACTTCATCTAGTCTGCTGGTTATTTCTTCTAGTGCATTATTCATTTCAGTTATCGTATTCTTCACTTCTGACTACTTTTTTATGGTTTCTATGTCCATTTTTATGTTTCCTATCTCATTTTTGAAGTTCTTACTAAGTTCCTTGAGCATCCTTAAACCATTGTTTTGAATGCTGTCTCTGGTAGGTTGTTTTTCTCCATTTGATTTAGTTCTTTTACTGGAGTTTTCTCCTGTTCTTTCATTTGGGACATATTTCTCTGTTTCCTCATTTTGGCAGCCTCTCTGTGTTTGTTTCTATGTATTAAGTAGATCTGCTGTCTTCCAGTCTTGACCAGGTGGCCTTATGTAGTCAGTGCTCTGTGGGGCCCTTGCACAGTTTCTCTGTTCCTGGTGTCTCAGGAGTGTCCCTTGTGTGGTTTGTGTCTGCCCTCCTGTTACGGTTGAGCCTTGATTGCTTTTGGCATGTCAGTGTGTGGGATTGACCCTTAGGCTGACTGGTTGTGGGGTTTGGTCATGTCCACAGCTTATGGGCTGCTATGCCAGAGGCTTACCCCCCACTGAGGATTCGCCCCAGTGGGCTTTAGTGCTTGTTGAGCCCATCCTTTGTGTGTGCCACTTGTGGTACTAATTGGGTGGTGCTCTGCTGTGGTCTGAAGCCAATCTCCAAGTATGTTGGTTCTGGGGCCTCTTTGGAGGGGCCCTGGCACAGGCCTAGGTCAGCTACTGCCTGTGATCAGCTGGGGACTACCTGGTAGGAGCTATGTAGTGATCCGTGGTTGGTCACTGCCTGTTTTGGACCTGGAGTTGCGTGGGAGAGGCCATGCTGCAAACCGAGGACGTCTGCCACCAGTACCAGGCCTGGGTAGCTCCGCAAAAAGCCAGGACACCCCAAGGCCTGCTGCCACTTGCTGGCTCCCTTAATGTTCAGCCACTGATAAAGCCTGGTGTGGTCCATAGTTGGGTATATAGATTTGGAAGCATTGTAGTTAATGTAGACTCTNGCAGTGTCACTGGGCCTCATATGTGGGATCCGAACCGGGGCCCTCTGGCATCCCAAGCCAGCCCCCAACCATCGCGCCACTCGGCCAGCCCTCCTTTGCCCATTTTTGAATTGGGTTGTTTGTCTTTTTGTTGTTGAGTTTTAAGAACTCTTTATATATTCTGGATGCTAGACCTTTATCAGATATATGATTTGCAAATAATTTTTCCCATTCTGTGGGTTGTTCATTTGTTTTTCTAACACAAATTTTATTTAATTTGTTCCTTACTATAAAGTGACACTTGTATTTCCTTGTTTGTGAATTATTTATGTAGGTCCTCTTCCATTTACCTCTTGAAGTTTTAGTATTTTTCTGGTTGAGGTGCAACAATTTTGGATTTTCAAGTTTACCTTGCTGATTTTGCCAATGTTCTTTTTGGAACGCTTTGCTTGTAGTAGATGTCAGTGTGGATGAATGTCATCATTTCTTGAGCACTGTCCTATGGTCCGGTCACTGTGCCAAGCACTTTACATGCTGACAAGGTGGAAGGACCCCTTGGCACCTGGGCTTTCATAGCTGTACAAACAACCAAAACAGGCAACCCCTTATCTTTCCTTACAACTCCCCACAGCTCAGTACACGGAAGTGGTGGTCAGCGGGAGTCACAGCGATGCGAGAAGGAGCTGTTCTCACTCTCCATTTACCTTAGTTCCTCAGCAAGCATGCCTCTTATCCCATTGCAAATATCTCCTCTGGGTTCTTGCTGAGATTGTGACAGAAATAAGGAACACCTCCCTGCCTGCCCTCCCCCAAACACACACATATATTCACATCTAGGGTCAGGGACCCCAACCATCACTATGCTATGAGTCCTGCAGTCAAGATCAAAGCTCCCTCAGAGCCTCCACAGAGAAGCTCTGGGGATCCTTTTCTGTATAGCCATCAATGTTTCATAGCTCTCCATTTCACAAAGGCAACTCAGGTGTCTAAATTCTTTTCCTTGTGACTTGATATCATTTGTCTGTCTGCCTCTTTAAACTTTACTCCTTCAACATCACTTCCTCCACAAACTATTTTTAGCTTGAAAAGCTGACCCTGGAGAACATGAACTACATTTACCCATCACAGTACTTTCTCTTTTCTTCATTTATGTGTCCCTGAAACACATGATACTCATTCTTAACAAGTTGAAAAGTTGAGTTCTCAGTCTGATGGCTAATTTAGTAGTGAAGGCCTCTGCTATCCTGAACAGGAACACCTGTCAGTGGCATGTACTTCCAATGGTTAGCCCTGGTAACAAAAATGTAAAACCAAGCACCAGGTATCATTCTGTTAGAGTCAATTAAGAGTTTCGCTCTGCCAAAGGAAATCTCTTCAGTCATTGACAAACTATGTAAGAGTTAGTTCAGCTGGATTCTAAAT